TTCAAAAGGCTTTTTAATTTGGGAAAGTGCTGTTTGCTGAAATCTGTTCTGTACATGTAGTTAAGACACTGAAAAATAACGATCATATTCGCAGAATAAATAGCATAAAAGAACTCAACTTTTTTAGACATTTCACCTAATTTAAAGAAAGTTCTTATCGTTACCATCTTGCACACATATATCCGCAGGACGAAACAAAACACTGCACATTCTGTTTTCACATGGACTACCATGACATGAAGCATCTTGCTAAGCTCTTATTAACCCAAACCCAAACCCAACTCTGACCCAAACCTGATACCCAAGTCTAGACTTGGGTACCCCAAACCCAAACCTAATTCTTTAGCTGGGTTTGGGTTTGCAACATACCTAATAAAAGCATGTGTCGAAGAAGGAGAGAATTATAGTATGAAATCAAAAATTTCGATGCTGGCATTCGCCAGCACCCCAAATCCGCCACTGGACTCAGGAATCTCCGATATTAATTTATTTTTGTACAGTAATATTCTAGCTGACTCAGGGTGGTTGTCCTAGAGCTCCGGCATTCATAATGAAGAAGAATGTTGACGAATCTCGAAGACATTTCATAAACGTCGATATACTTGGAAAAAACTCTGTAAATACTGTTCTAATCTTCTCGTCTGATTGCTTGAGGTGTTTAGCTTAAACTTTTTTTGGCGTTATTATGCCATCCGGGCTCGTTTTAATGTGTATAGCAGCATAAATGCATACCGTTCAAACATTCTGGGACATGATATGTAACTTTTGTGTGAAATGAAGGAACTTTTCGTCAACTTACTGGAATAGAATCAGTATGGAATAATTTTTAAACAAAAACTAGTCGGATAGCCCGTTAAAAACTAAGGATAGATATTTATCTTTTGTAGTACATTACTAATAGAAGAAACGATAGACGAAACTATAACCATATGAATAAAGATGACATTTGAATGAATCAAATGAGATGCGAAAACGTATCTCTGTATGTCTCAAACTATTCTGCAGCAGACGACATTAATATCTTTTAAAATAACAACTTCCAACTCTTCTCACTGAAATCGTCCTTTTCGTACTCAAGCCGTGTGATTCATTTATCTTTTTCAGACTGATTGACAAGTATTGATCTATCTTCCGCTGATAGCGAAGAAAATCACATTTTTTTTTTCAAGCTTTTTTGTGACTAGCATTAGATTATGGAATTCCGTCATTCAGCGTCAAATTTAAGCTTGGAAGTGAGCATTGGCGATACCAATTATGAATCCATAGATGCTATGCTTGGATTGACCGCAATTTATTATCGAACAAAAAAAGAAATGCGTGATGCAGCTGAAAAAACATTTTCCAATAAGATATTCGTATTGAAATTATTAATTAGCAGCATTGCGACCATTGGCTTATCTTTGTTTAATGCTTATACGATTTATCGTAATTTTTTCACTCGTTCTCAGCGCAATTCGTCATTCTCGGACAATTCCTCGTTTTCAGTTAATTCAACTGATTCAGATAATTTCTTCTATTCAATGAAGTCATCCATCCAAAGTAAGACATCTGCATTATATTCTTCAATGCGGACAATTGTCTATTATTCGGAATTTATTATGCTTAAGCGGTCATACAAAAGGGATAACTGAGAGAGATACAAAGAGAGAGAAAAGCAAATCCGACAGACAGAGAGAAGTAATTTCACAAATGCTACCTTTATCATATACTTGTGTCCACTCTTCTCACCTGATTCCGTATGAGATCGTATTGGAAGATCTTATAAGGTCCTATGTGTAATCAAGAAAGATTTCGTAACATTTATTATCTTCGTTCACATCTAAAACGTCGAAGATTTTGTCGGTCGAAACATAATCCAGACGAATTTGACCAACAATATTCCCAAGTTCTCCAGCAGTCAACTTTCTTGCCTTTCTCACGCTATGAGTTACGATAGAAAGGTCACGACAGGTACGTGTAACAGGATCATGGTTATGATCGCTAATTAAGAACCTTATATTACGATTTTCTCGTGATGCAGAAATGATCTCGCTAGATTCATTCTCATACCGCAATCGCTGCTTTTTTCGTGGTTTTCGTTCACTAATAATAAATGGGTCGCCCTATTCTAACCGCGATCGCTTGACTCTCGTTTGGAAGAAGAGATCGCGGGCTATTAGCCCGTGAAAACAACCAGTACAATCCTGTTGACAAAATTTTACGCACAACCTGGCTTTTCAGAGATCTCGTAGAAAACCTGTTTGAAAAAACTATTCTGAAAGTTATTTTACTGGCGAAAACCGTTTTACGATCAAAAAACGAGGTAGCACTAGTAGTATATATGCAATGCTGACTTCTTCGAATAACCTAGAATTTTTCCTTTTCTCGTATATACAAGTCTATAAAACTTGATTATTCATTTCACACAAGAGTTACATATCACGTCCCCGAATGTTTGAACGGTATGTATTTATGCCGCTATACACATCAAAACGAGCCCTGATGGCATAATAACGGCAGAAAAAGTTTAAGCTAAAAATCTCGAGCAATGAGACGAGAAGATAAGAAGAGTATGCAGAGAATTTACCATGGGAGTCAGACAGCAACTTTGTTTAATATGAATACCCTAAGACGAAGGAGTGATTATCACATTAATAATTAATATTACATACACCTTCGATCGACAATATAAATTCCCAGTGTATCATTCTGAAACTTAAACTGTCAACGCAAAATCAATCCTTGCACGAAGCTAGGATCGAATACACGAAGTTGATCATTGGAGGCAAACTGCAAAAATCAACTTTGCTGACAAACATTTCATTTCATTTCATTTTTTCACATATTATGTGAATTGAAGCAATCTTGGTTAAGTTTTGACGGTTTTGCGTATGTTGCACAGTGGGCATATAGGCGGACTTCGTAGATGCTATTGTAAGCATCTACGAATTATTAAATACTAACAATATTTAGGATACTCATTGTTCTTATGTTCAAATATAATATTGTTCCATACAAAGTTTAGGTTTGTCCTTTATCAGTGTAAAGTTTTTATTTGAAAACATTTAATTGGAAAGAAAAGAAACTGTTAAAGTACTTGTATGGAGATGGCTAACATCGGACATACAGTGATCCAAAAGATTGACCGTACAGTAGAAGAAAAAACTTTGCGAACGCATTTTCTCACGGAAGAAAGTTGCGAAAAGAAATTATTGTTTTATCAGTTCTCCCTTCGCGCACAACAATTGCAAACGGGTTGTGAATCGCTTATTTGTAACTAGGGAAAGGGAGCTATATTTCCAACGGGTTTTTGGCGCCGTGTTCCTTAGTTATAAATGAGCGATTCACAACTCATTTGAAGTTGTTGTGCGCGAAGGGAGAACGGTCTTATCTTGTAGACAATTATTTTCTCTATAAGCCTATGTCCTTCAAGAAAAGTTCCTTTCCCATTTCAGGTTGAAAACAGCCGTTCATAACCAGATCTCTAGTTAAAGATTTTGAGAGATCTTTTCACCGACTAAGATTAATATGAAAAATTTTCCTTTCAAATGGTATAAAAATAAAAGGTTCATCTATTCGGGAAACGTTTAGAAAATTAGAGACAAGCGGGTGTATGGTTAACTATTCGGTTCTACGTACGTATATTCAAATGTAGTATATGAATCTATTCTATCTATTGATAAAACAATAATTTCTTTAGCAACTTTCTTCCGTGAGAAAATTCGTTCGCAAAGTTTGTCTTCTACTGTACAATTTTCGGGCCATTGCATCACCCAACAAAAAGGTGTCACGAAAACATTTGTGTTCTGCTGTACGTCTTCTCTGTGTGACTGCAAATTTCTATATGATGGGTTTGCTGCTTGGTCCAATAGGGTTTTATAAAGCGGAGCACCAAAAAATATCTACCCTGAATATTCGGCGTTCGGTATATACTGGTTTCGCATTACATACAATCGCAAGGATGCGTGAGATGCTAAATATGAACTTATTTCGTATCATTCCATTTCTATCGGTTAATCAGTTCACAACCATGCTTAAGGTAGTTAAAAAGGTACAAGAACAACATCGTTATAAAAAGTTTCTTTATGTTTCAATAGTCCTTAGTTATATCTTTTATGCTCCTCTTATCACAATTACATTTATGATTAAAATCGCACAAGTGTCATTTATTGCTGATCACACATTTCAGTACTGGTCATTTAACGAATGGTTGACATTTCTTGCCTTATTAAATAACGTTGCTAATTTAGGCTCAGATAAATCGATAAATCTGAATTTTGTATGGAGAAATATTGTATTTGAATGTAAAACCAATGAGTATTCTAAATATTCTCATTATTTAATATACAATACCATCTACGAAGCTAATAAGCTCAAAGGAATATTTTATATACTTACTATGGATGCTGATGAATTATGTGAATTAATTATAAAACCCGAATCAGATGCGTCCGGCAAATCAGATATTAAAAAAACCGACAATAGCAGCAGTTGAAAGAAACTGCGAGCTTCAATGTCCTGCGTGTTCAGGAGGGCCTTCTTTTTCCTTTTTCTTTTTTCTTCTTTTTTTCTTTTATTTTTTATTTTTGTTTTCCTTTCCTTCCTTATTTTTCTTTTGCTTGTATATGTTATAGATATATAAAAAAACTTGCCTGATGAGTTTTATTTTTAAATAAAACGAAACGCGTCGCAACATCTTGTTTTCTATGGCATTAAGACCAATACTCTAAGCAAGCAATAAAAAGTTAAAGTGTTTTTTACATTTAACTACAAAATCAAAATTATAGTTGGGTTCAAGGAGTTTTTCATCTAAAACACCTGTTCTCGCGTCGCTCTCTATCTCTGTCTATAACAACTAGAAACGTGTTTTTAAACAGTTTTTGGTTGTTACTTTATCAAGTTCATAATCCTTTATTCTAAACGTCAGCTGGTATCTATCAATCTTACCACTGATAATAGAGAAAAAGAGAGTAATGCTAACAACAGTTCAACAACCACTTCACCAGAGAATCCGTGGAGATATGCATGGTGTTGACCAACAACATAACGTAGCGCAACAGCAGCAACATCGTCTACAACAGCAACCACAACCACAGTTCTATCCCCAAGAACCTATTTTTCAAAGACAATTACCGATATATGAAAATGGTCAGCATCAGTTCCCACAAGGTGCGGTTGAACAGAGGCGATATCAGCCTCGTCAGCCAACTTTGGGCGATTATATTCCTCAGCAAAATAAATTACCTCAGAATACAGCTGATCGAAGACCTTACCGATCTCGACAGGCAATCTCGGGTAGTTTTGCACAGGATCAAAGACCAATAATACAGGAAAATAGGAATTTTCAGAAGAGACCTATTCTTGTAGATTATTGGCCAAAGCGCGAATATAATCCATGGCAGAATGGGCAAAGACCGTTCGTGCCAGGATGGAGCAATCAAGGGTATGCAAGAGATTTTAACGGTTGGCAAGGGCAAAGACAGCAGCAGTCTTTCATCGGTTACAATGGTCCACATTTCAATGGACCTATGAACCAGGAAAGCGGCGCTGTCTATGCACCACAACAACGGCAGCAACGGGCTCGTTTGAATCGAAAGAGACATGAACGTAGAGCACGCATGCCTGACCGGTTAAATAATCAAACTGATGCTCTGCGAGTCAATAATCGTTTCGCCCATTTTGAAACAATAGACCAAGACGAAGTTAAGCCTGATGAAACCACATCGGCTGTACCGTCAGCTATAAGTAAAAATGAAAAGGCACCGACGAAAAAATCGAAAAAGTCGAAAAAAACTAGAAAGGCAGAAGCTCAAATAATTAAACCAGTCTCATTGGACCTAGACGGCGATGCGAACGGGCATATTTCTGAACAAAACCCTAATGAATATAAGAGTCGACCCTACTTGAGGGCTGACCATATTCGACGGTATTTGTATAGCCTGTCTAAACCTTCTGATATCGGTCCTACCGCCCGACATATAAACAGATTTGTCACTGTCTCAGCACCAATATATGATGCCTGGATCCGAGACAACTACGAATATCAAGTAGTTGAAAAACTTCTGGAGATAGGCACCAAAGATAAGCACTGGGCGCACGAGATAGTGAAAAAGTCAACAAGTCGTGACGATAACGTCAATCGGCAGTACTGTATTGATAGAATATCCGAGCTTCAAAGAGCCATTTCGAATCATGGGAATGCAGTAACGAAACTGCAAAGCGAATTGATAGCATTTGCACCATACTATAATGATGTCCCGGGTAACATTAATAATAATGGTACCGCAGTGACACATGAGGAAGTAGCGGCGCAAAATGCTCGTAAACCTAGAATGCACATCAGACTCGCTGACAATACAATACAAGAATACTTGAAAATACATACTAAAAAGTGTGCAGAAATTTGTGCTAATCGAGTGCACACAGCATATGCTGAACTCAAAGAGTTTGAAAACCTAAAAACATTTGAGGAAAAGGCTACGCCATTACAGCGAGCACATGTAAAGATACTAAAAGGGAAATTAGACATCCAATATGGAAAACAGAAAAACGTCAATTTCCTTAAGAATCAAATACAAATGGGAATAATACCGAAAACGATACCCAAAATACAATTCAGCCCGCACCTCGATGATCGCGTACTTAAACAAGATAAACTTAAAGAGCTTAAGCGCATCATAGATACGGTAATTGATAAATTTCAAGTCACAACAGCAGAAACGCTCGTGCTAATAGCCGAAGTCGAACTGGCGTCCATCGACCAGGAGATACAAGAACTGGACAATTCTATGCCGCCAAACTTCGAACCTGGAGATAACGAAGAGCCGAAAGCGAGCGATTTGTATAAACTCTATTTCGAAGCTCGGCAGGTGAGAATGAAAAATCTTATCGATAGATCAGTTCTTTTTTTAGAAGAGCAGCGCGAGGCCGAGTCTATGCGAGCCAGCGTTCATGCAACAACAGAGCTACAGCGAGAGGCCCGACCACTAGCATCTTTGCTTCAGCCAGCTTTCACGCTCCAATTGTAATTAACCAAAGTTCAATGGTTTTAACCGAGCCAGAATATGACCTTCTCAAAAAGGGCCCTAAATATGTCATAAACGACACACGTACGGCCGAAAACCGTCGTGGTCCTGAATTGGATGTAGTTCGTTATAAAATTTATAGCAGACTCGCACAAAAAGGCATTTTAGGAGGTCGTACTATGATGGCTCCGTTTCTCAAGGATCTCGAAAAGACGCTATTAGATTGCCAACGAGAAAAGAATATTTTGAGCCGGAAAAAAAATCGGCAGAAACTTTCTGTTGTCAAAAGATTGAATTTACGCATAGAGAAGACGAATACGATTCTTCGGAAAACCGATAAATCTAAAGTCTTTCATTTAGGTAAATCATCTGATTATAAAGATAAGGTCGGAAAGTACATGCAAAAAACTAATGCGTATGAGACAATCGGGGATAAAAACCCATTGCAAGAGTTAGTCGTGAAAACTAACCATTTTCTGCGCCGTCTATGGCAAGAAAAGAAAATAACGCAAAAGCATGTAGAACAAATGTCAGTCGACTCGGCTACGGCAGAATTGGCACATTTGTATTTCTTGCCAAAAGCACATAAACCGAATACCCCTCTGAGACCCATAGTGGCTGGAATAAAATCTCCACCTATGAAGATCTCAAAGTTTCTAGACCAACAGCTTCGACCAATATTCGATAGAATGGCCAAAGGTTCGTCGGTTACAGGCGGTATTTATTTGGTTGAACGATTACGAAAATGGGCACATTATAGACTGACGAATGATACGATATTCGTTACGATCGATGTGTCAGATTTATATACAATGGTTCCACAAAAAGGCGGGTTAGAAGCAATCAAAAAGATGCTAGAGACTCTCAAAGTA